TGAGCCATATTTTTAGTGATTTCACATAGATGAGACATAAGAATAACGCTATAAAATTTTCAAGCGGAAGTCTTTTTATTTTCCTATATATATAGAATTACCTCCATTTTGATGGTGCATAAATATAAGACCACATGAAAAAAAAATACAAAAACACCAAAGAAAAAAATATCAATATTTGGTCTTGGCTCCATTTAGCTTAATAACTTCAAAGATTCTTTCAGGCATCGATTTGACCAAAGCACGGAGTTGTTCGATGCTAATTTCTTCCCAAGATTTTATAATGGTAGTTTTTAACTGTTCTTTTGTTCTAAATTGTTTACCTCCTGCATAGACCTTCCTTGCTAGTATTCCCCAAAGATTTTCAATAGGATTTAAATCAGGTGATAACGATGGCCAAGGTAAAACATTGATTTTCTTCGATTTAAACCAGGCGAGATTGACTTTTGCTCGATGAATTGGTGCATTATCCTGTTGGAAGATCCAATCAGACCCACCCATACAGCTACCGATATCAATGAGATGCTTTTTCAACACCTCTTGATATCCTTTTGCGTTCATTCGACCGTCCACAAAACATATTGAACTTTTACCACCCCAACCAAACGACGCCCAAATCATAACGCTACCACCACCTAGAGGACGAGTTGAAAAAATCTCTTCCTCTCTACGGAGATCATGCCAGTAGTAAGAAAAACCATCAGGACCATCCAAATTAAATTTTTTTTCATCAGACCAAACAACTTTGTGCCATTCATTGTTCCAGATCATATGATCTTTAGCCCAACTTAATCGTAAATCTTTATGAGCTGTTGTTAAAGCAGGAGAGTGTTTTTTTTTCATCTTTTTCAAGATGTTTGACCTTTTTATAACTCGATTGATTGTCCATCGTGACATTTTTAAGCATAAATCGTTAACAATATTGGCACAAGATATTGTTTTGTTGCTGGCGGTTCTAATAATAAGGCGTTTGGTGCGTTCATCGACCTTTTTTCTTCGACCAGTTCGTTTTCTCAAGCCATATTTAAGTGGATCTTTTAAAAAATGTGTTACCACTGTCTTCGATCGATTGATTTTCGTGGCAATTTCTCGATGGGATTTATTTTTCTTGTGTAATGCTAAAATCAACTTTCTTTCACTTTCTGTTAGTTGTATTTCACTGGGCATGTTATAGCTTAAATCTCAGTGTTATCCTGTGTGTTAATTTTATTCAAAGTCACTGATGATTCACTTAGTATTAAAAACCAATCATGTGGTCTTATATTTATGCACCACCAAAATGGAGGTAATTCTAGATATATAGGAAAATAAAAAGACTCCCGCTTGAAAATTTTATAGCGCTATTCTTATGAATCATCTATGTGAAATCACTAAAAATATGGCTCATTTCACTTAGTTTAATTTGAGAACAAGTGGTCTTATAATTATGCACCGCACTGTATATTGTTTTAATAGCAGCTAGAATTTTATTGTACTTACACAATGTGTATAAAGAGAGACTACCAAAATAACAAAATTTACTTTTGCAGTTTTTCTGCAAAAGTGAATTCTGTCATTTTCGATAGTCTTTCTTGGCTGACATTGTCAGTTACAAAATATTTCCGCTGCTGTTAACTTTTAAAATCGAACTCACCATTCGTATTTCTTCATCTTACACTTGCCCTAAATATAAATATAATAATTCATCAGCATTTAACTTTCAAAATCGAACTCACCATTAAATATTGATTCATAGGACATTTGATCTAAATAGGAATAAGATTTTTGATTCGCTTCCCCGGTCGATCCATCCCACCATAGGATATGATCGGAACCGTTCAGATCCCGTCGGATTTCTATCGAATCCCATAGGATTTCATAAGGATCCTAGAGAAAAACATAGGGCTAACGCGTTGAGAAAT